TAAAAAATGAAGATCACAGATTTAAAAAGAAATTTAAAACGGAAGGCTGCGGATAAAATAGAAAATAGCGCCCCCTTCACTGGGCCAGGACCCCTCGACCTCGTTAGCTGCCCTGACTAATGCCTAAAGAAAATACGACGTAAAAATCTAAGCATTTTGAAACCACTTTTATTCAAAGCACTAATATTGAAAGACCAACATTTTTGTAATAAACACTTTGATCAGACATGACCTACTTAAGACTTTTTAATTGCGAAGAGAACAGGCAATAGCAACACGGACCAACGACATGAACCATATGCAGCGAACGCATATGCAACATGGACAGATGCAACATGGACATATGCAACATAGACATATGCAGCAAACACATATGCAGCGAACGCATATGCAACATAGACATATGCAACATCTACATATGCAGCGAACACATATGCAGCGAACGCATATGCAACATAGACATATGCAACATCTACATATGTATCATCTACATGCAACATAGACCAACGACATCTACCAAAGACACATAGCAACAACATAGACCAACGACATCTACACACATGGCTTCTACTTATTTTTGACACAAATGGAACCCCATACCAATACAGCACATTAAGCTTGTTAACAAGTAGCCTGTAGGCTACTGATGTTGTTGTCTATGTTCAGCTACGTAGACTAATTTTGCCCCCCCAAACTAAGTCGATGCCCCCCCCTGTTAAACTCGTCTGGAGCCGGGGCTGGTCTGTAGTTCTCTAGATAAGAGCCCTGAACAAGCAGCCGTGTATTTTGCCACCTGGGCAATGCGGAGCGGTGAAGAGACGCTGAGTAAACCACATATGATGGGGAAACAGTAATATCAGCATTATGAGTAGTTTCTTCTTCTTCTTCTGTGGATTGTAGGAAGCAGCTATGTTTTGCCTCATACTATGCATGAGCTGGGGATTCTCTGGAAGAAAAGATCTGTTTTCTCTGTTTACACAACAACAGAAAACGGTACGTTTCAGAAACATCGCACTCTGGAACCCGTTTTCAATCTGTGCCATTGTTAGAGAAAACATTCGGTGTGAGAGTCACTACCAGGTGGAGCAGAAGCGGCGCTCAGTCTGTGAAATATTACTACCTGTAGCGTAGCAGCGGTTCAACAGCGAGAGCAGCATGGGCGTAGGTTTGGGTAGGGACGGTAGGGACATGTCCCGACCAATATTCATGGGATATGAAAAAGTCCCGACCAATTTTTGCCATATTGGCTCAAAGAACGTGGATCTACGATCTTTGATTAGCAGCAACAGGCGGTGCGGAACGGAAGCTTCTTAGTTTGACATTTATTATGAGCCTCCGAGACCCTGTCGGGGGGGTGGGGGGAGGGGGAGTCAGTTGAATCGTCGGACGTTCTTTGATTAGCTGCAAAAGGCGGCGGCTAGCTGGGCACACGCATCTCCTTCTGAGTCTCCGAGACCATGTCGCCACCAAAAAAGAAAAGGACAGACATTAGAAGTTATTTCGCTATGTCGGCTGTAAGTACAGTGAGTGGACCCATAAGTTAGATCTATCACGCAACGCATTTGTTGTAAAGTCCGGTGTTTAGTAAGGTCAGCAGCACTGAATGTGAGGTAGAATAGGTCTGTTAATTATGTAATATTTTTTCACATAGGATGCTCAGACAGCAAACATTGCAATAATACAGAGAATTTTATTCATGTTTATTTATTATTGATTTCTTCTTATCTGCAACTGTGTTTGCTGTATCCAGAGGATATTTCTTTTGATCTTACTTGTAACGTTTGCTGAATTTTGTAAAGGAAAAAGTAAAGTGTTCTTGAACTGATCTGCTGAGTATGACTGTATCTGGTTGTATACACAAGATGTATGATATGGTTATGGTTGGGGGGAGGGGTTATTAAGCCAATGTGGTTTCCCCCCCCTTCTCAAAAATGTTCGGTGCTCTTGGGCATTTCACTGTGCTGCCGGGGGGGGGAGGGGGTGTCAAGGTCCCCACCAAAACTTAGACCGAACCTACGCCCTTGCCGATCACAGATACCGATCACATAATTATTATTTATTTATTTTTTATCATAAACCCTACCGGTTACATTATGTGGAAAAAGGAACCATGAATTCACCTTAATTTAGACAAAAACTTGTTTTTAATAACTTTTTCCAAGAAGAAAACTAAACAAAACAGGCATTGTGCAAATTGTACTGCTATTGATAATACTATCTTTAACAGACTGAAAACATATGAAGGCTCTGAAGAGGCTAAATAATACAAAGAGCCAAAATAAAACCTCTCAACATTGCCAAGAAGTTCAAGTATAAAACTTAACATTCAAAGGCAAATACAGGATCCATTACAATAAACAATCCAGAGTTACTGAATGAAAACTTCCTGTTAGCATGGCGGCTAGCTGATTACTGCTAGCTCTGATTGGCTGTTTCTGACTGAGCGGAGTAATTATGCAGGACAGGGAGGAGATCGATTATTTTTTCAGAGATTATCTGTCTCATGTTAGGACAGCGGAAGTTTTAATACGTATGTAAAATTTATTTTTTTTTTAAGTTAGATGCTGCAGCTTTAAGCAGAGATTCAGTGAGAGTCACTACCAGGTGGAGCAGAAGCGAAGCTCCGTCTGTCAAATATTACTCTGTAGCGTAGCAGCGGTTCAACAGCGAGAGCAGAACCAGCGTCTTACATCGCAGCTCGAAGACTTAAATTATTTTGCGGGTTATTTGTTCAGCTTTCTGACCGTCATGCTAATCCGGGTGAGTGTTTGTAGCTGTGCGCTGCTTTATCTGCTGTCTGATGCTCCGTATGTCTTTTTTACTGCAGTGAGCCTCGATGTAGCCAAACTCCGTCAAGTATGGCATTGTTTTTATGCCATATTAGATTTGTTGTGTTGATGCATTTTGACGTGCTTCAATTTTCCGCCGCAACACGCAAACTTCCCCATTCACTCAGTGCGTTATAGTTGCACATCGCTTAAGATTTGTTGTTGCGCGTTTGCGCAGAGTGAAGGAAAGAGGAGACCAGCTGCACAGGGAGACTGCGAAATGAGAAACAGGTGATCAGTATTGGTAAAAGAGACAATGATCGCCGATCACCGATCATGCACTTTTTCACGAAAATCGGCCCGATTATGATTGGTGACCGATCGATCGGCACACCTCTACTACAAACGCAACAAAACTCTTCCGTTTTCACCCAAAATCGTTGTCGTGTAAACAGGGCCTGAACTGGCATTTAGAACTACTGGCTGTTTTGGGCATTATATAGCTGGATTAACCAAACCACTGTTACACATTGGATTAGTGTGGCCATTTAAAATGAAGCTTACTGAAAAATTCAAAACAAAAGCCTTGATATTTTTCACATCAGGTAATTGCTCTTTTGGGCTTTATGTCACTGGTTTAAACAAACCACTGTTAAACATTGAATTCGTGTGGTCATTAAAACGATGCTTACTGAAAGTTTTAAAATAAAAGCCTGCATATTCCTCTCACGTCAGTTCACCGCCATAGGCGGTGCAATAATATTAAGCTTTTTTTTATGTTTTTTTTTTCAGGATAGTGTTTCAGGATAATGTTTGTGCTAATTGGCATTAGCACAAACATTAGCATTTCACTGCCCTTGACTAGTGCATTAGCTTTAGACTTTTACCTAAAATAACCTATTAGTTAATTTTCTCACTTATTTGCCATGTTTAGTATACTGAATGGAGTAACTCAATGACAGACAACAAACATCCGAGTGATGCCCCACATGCTACTGATC